ACTCCTCTTGCTTGATTGCAACGGTCTCTGTCTCATGGTCTTTGTGAAGTGAGCCATCCTGGCGTGTGGGATTAGTGCATGGTGCATGGATCTTACAGGCTGAGATGGAGGGCTGAAGTCAAAAGCAGCTTCCTGAGGGAGTGGGGAATTATAAATTAACCAGGGCCCATGACTAGAAGGACTTCCTGATTATAGACCCTAATTAATCCCTGGTGTGTTCATTCAGGAGCCTCCTGTTTGCTCCGTTAGCAGCAAAGCTAAAAAGCTCCCCAATTTGTTTCCTGGGGCTTCATGGGAAAGTGAGAAGCTGCAGTCACAGGGTCTTTCTCTGCAGCTAGTCCCAGGGATTGTGGGGCAGGGGATGGCTACTCAGGGCCCTGCATCAAAGAGAACAGAGAGGTAAAAATCACAGTGCAGGCTGAGCCAGAGAAAGGCCCAAGGGCTAAACTAGAGAAAGTTGGAGCAAGCTTCCTGGATGTACTCACACTGGACCATGGGGCCCTTAACACCACATCTGGCATATAGCTGTGTAATGTATGAATGACCACATTCATATAGTTTGGGGACTGAGAAGTTTATCAAGTTCAAGCTTTGCCTACTCCATGCATGAATTTATTATGCATCTGTGTTTCCTAATCTGTGGACCATAAACCCCCTTTTGACTGCAGAGTACCCTCTAATCCACATGTGCATCAAACATTGTCTTCTGACTGAATAAACATGTCTCCCACAGCAGATGGGTATAGATGGTATTGCAATTCAATAAAATTTTATTTAAAAGTGTTTCTTAGTTCAAAGGAGCTTTTTGTCATGCATGCATCAATGACAGATACTTAATGAGCCACAATTTTTAAAACAAAAAGTCATTATAATTTAAAAGATTGGGACCACTAGTCTCCAGCCTCAGCTACCCTTTGCAACCTCACAGGGAGCTCCTTCCACCACTGAGCAGCTGTAGCTATTGGTCAATATTCTGCCTCATTTAAGTTTGTCAACCTAAATAACAGAGAGGTTCTCCAAAAGAAAATACTTTTTCAGCAATAGGGCATTGCAATGGGAATACACATGCCATAGTAATCTATGTGCATATCCAGGGAGGTAAGGGAAGACAAACTGTTTTAAAGGAAAAATGAGGAGGATTACATAATTATTTCAGGATAATTATCCATGGCTACAAGGATCAATAACAAGGGTGACACCAGTTCGAGGTTGGACAGGCAGTTGCTGGGCAGATATCCTTGCAGAGGTATTTTTTATTAAGGTTGTGATGGCCTCTGCAAGGTTGTGGCTTTGCAGAGTCCTTTGTGATAATTCTTGTTATCAGGCATAAATGCACGAGAACTGCCCCCTTCATGGCCCTTCTCCAAATCTATTTGTCAGGGTTTCATTTTGTTTTTGAGGCTGGCTGCTATAGGGATACAAACCCTTGACCTTAGTGTTATCAATATCACGCTTTAACCAAATGAGCTAACCAACCAGCCCATCAGGGTTTTTTTTTTTTTTAACACAAGTGACCCTATTTTGATTCTGAAAACTTTCACAAGTTGAGTTCTTTTTCCTGGCTTTCCTCTCTCTTTATACTGTTTCTACCCTCTGAAGACTTTGCAGAGGGAACAGCTAGAATTAAAATGACCTGTCTTCTAAATCTAATACATTATAAATACTATAAACTTGTATATTATACCTGTATTTCTATTTAAAAATTCTTTTATCTGTCACTTTGTAAATATCCTCATTGGAAGGGGACAAAATCCTTTAAAAGAGAAGACAAACAGCAAGGACTCATTCTTCTATAAATCCAGGGGTAACACACTGTCTATCTGCACCCCAAGCTCCCAGGGGGATGGACTCTGCCTTGTCTGTCTGCTCAGAGGTTTTGTGTTGGTTTGCCAGGCATGCTCTTGGAGCTGTAAGGACAGGGGTCCAGCCTGGGTGGGCACTGAGGTCTGTGATGAGATGAAACTGTTATAGGGGGACACTTAGCTCTTGGCTGAGGCTCCCCAAAATCTTGTTACTGAACCCAGGTTTGGCTGCCTACCCCCTTTCAAATGCAAACCATTCAAAAGTCAAATGTTGGTGAAAATGGAAGTCAGCTTTTTTTCAGAAATACCAGTGACCTGAGGAGAGATGTTGGGCTAACCCATCTCTCTGGCAAACCTGATGGAGGATGGCCAGACTAAAGCCACCTCCAAGACTCAGATTTAGTGAGGGGGTTTTATTTTTTATTATTTATTTTATTTTTTTTAAAGATGACTGGTAAGAGGAACTCAACCTTTGGCTTAATGTCAGCACCACGCTCAGCCAGTGAGCTAACCGGCCATCCCTATATAGGATCCAAACCCATGGCCTTGGTGTTATCAGCACTGCACTCTCCCGAGTGAGCCATGGGCCAGCCCTACTGAGGGGTTTTTAAAGAGGGGGCCAAGGGAATAGAACATGGGACATGAAAAGCAGGAGGGAGGGGGATGTGAGCTGCAGGGGCTCCTTGCAAGGAGACAGGTGCATGGTCTCACCGAGGCTCTGTCTAGTTTCTGCTCCTGTCCCTGCTGTTATCTCAGGGTCCTGCTGGAGCGGTGCGATCTGCGTAAATTTATTGATGTCTTCCTTGGTTTCTCTGCTGAAAGTCTGCAGCTTTGGGTGGCTGGAAAACAACTTCACATTGATGTAAATAATGCCATCTTGCCCCCAACCAAGGTTCAAGATAGCAAATAACCATGGGAAAAGAGGGAACTCAGAGAAGTGCATGCCAAGAAAAAAAC